AGCCCGAGGAGCCGCCCGCCCGGCCCGAGGCCCCTCGCTGCGCGGAGCGCGTTCTTGGTGCTGAGCGGGGCAGGAGCAGCTGGGACCCGGAGCTCGGGGCTCTGCTCCTCTGAGGGCTGATCAGCACCGACCTCGTCGACCTAAGTCTTCCTCCTCTCTTAAAAATACTTCGAGATTTTCCCAGGTGTCGCGCTGGGCTCTGTGGAAAGGGCGCTCAAGCCTCTCAGAGATCAATGTCTTCTTCACCCTTTACACAAAATTTTCACTCTCCTTCTTATTTGAATGTGAAACAGGATCACAAATATCTCTCCTAAAGTCATTGGGAGTCTTCTCCTTTTGCTTTGAGCCGTTATACTTCTCAGCTCAGAGTTCAGTGGGCTCCCTTCTGCATGCAAAAATATCAGTGATGATCAGCAGTAGGTGTAGGAGCCAGTTGTATAAAACGAGTGCCCACCCCCCTGTAGCCTAGTGTCTTTCCCAACCCCCCTTGTAGCTTTTTGAACCTACTATGGTGTTACAGTCAAACCTGGTGAAGTCATCATCTGAAGGAGGCTGAGACCATGAATGTTTTGCAAAAAACCCCACTTAGTTTCTGAGTAGAAGACAGCATTATTGCCCGTGTTGTGCTCCTGTTGAGGAAAAGTCAGGAATAATGTAGCTTTTAAGTGTCCTGAGAGTCATGTACGAATGTGCTATCTCCAGAGCAACTGCCACGTGTGCTGCCTTTTGCTGGGCCAAAAGGATGAGAAGTTGGCTGCAGGATTGTTGTGAGAGGGGTGCTGGAGCAAACCCACAGGAAGCCAGCTTCATTAGTTTTACTACCCGTAAAGAAACTTCTCATTACTTTTGAAGTAGTTTCTCATGTTTCTGGAGCACTTGGGTGCTCCCAGATTATAATTCTTGTAAGAAAATACATTTTTCCTTCACAGTGTGGCGCTCTGTACTTGAAAGACTGAAAGGAGAACTCAGTGCAGGGGTGGGGAACACTTGTTTCCCAAGCAATTTCTGAACTGAAAGGATGTGTCACTGTTGGGAAATGGTTGGAGTTGTTTCTGTTCTCTCAAGGTCACTTGACTTTCCCCTGAAGCAGCTTCTCTTGCTAATTGAAGCAAAGTAGTTATTTACTGACTATGGCTTATTTCTTTTCATTTTCCTTCTTTCCTGTTCATTCTCTTCATACCTTCTCTGTCAACTATAATGCACAAGAAGCCAGTTGAGAGGAAAAGAACAAAAGGCAAAAGGACAGTAAGTCAAGAACTAAGGAACCTGTGGTGATTCTCCACAGAAATCACTGCCTGGGTAATAGAAAATAGACTTGAAAGAACTGGACGCAATAAGGTGAAGGGCAAAGAGTACATGTTTAACTGAAAGCCTCTGAAAATCCTGTTAGGATGTCAGAGGAGAGAGAAACTGGGGGATCCTTCAAGGCTTTTGAAAGAGAATAGAAGCAGCCTCATGAATTGCAAGTGTAGGGCTCATCCTGTGTGGTGCAAGGTTCCTGTTGTCAAGGTCCTCTCTAGGTCTAGTTTCTGTTATACCCTGGATTTCACTTACAGATTTTAATACCCAGCAGAGACTAGTGTGGCTGCTTTCCAAGGTTATTGCCTTGAAGAAAGTTTTGCAGGAGTACTTAGTTATGAGCAGCATTATATTATTCTAGATACTGTCCAGGCAGGTAACAAGAAACACTTCCCACTCTAAAGAGATTACAATTGTCACAACTCTTTTTGGGTTCTGCTGGGTTTGGTGGTTGTGAAAATGCAACCTGCCACTGATGTCTCTCTTGACACAATTTTCTCCCAGTTTTGGCAAACATCATCCATCGCTTCAGTAGCCCTCACGCTTTTTTGATGTCTGCCCTCAGCAAGGGATTGCTACCTTATCCAACTGTGGACCTCCCAGCTGGGACACGTTAGACAGTTTGTCAGTGCCAGCATGCTCTGGAGGAGAGTCCCTGATGGGGTTGTGGGCAGGACTCTTCAATCCTCTGCTGATAATCAGGTGTTAGAGGAGCTCACCCTGCTCGTGTGGCGTTTTTCATGAAAGTTGCCGTTTAGTACAAAGTAGCATCCCTGATGCAGGGGAGTGAGGGGAGAAAGAGTGCAGTATCTCAGCTCAGATTGTTTCTGCTTTCCTGCTCTTGGAAAGGTTATGAATATGACCACAATTCTTTCCCTTTGAAGGTCTAGATCTATCAGTCAGGGTTAAAGTTTTGGTTTTGTTTGTGTACCTACTAAATACTGAGCTTCTTCCTTTCAGGATTGTGTGCAGACAGCACCTGGGCTTGTCTGGCTCCCTCTTAGAGTGAGGGGCTAAGCCAGTTCCTGAACTTTGGTGTACTGTTGTTGTGCCCATCAGCCTCTGGGGAGTGTTTCCTCCTTCCCTTTCCCGTGGAGCGAATGTCACTGTCCTGCTGTCCGTAAAAGAGCAGAGATACTTACGTGAGCCATTCCTGTTTCTGCAAATAGAGCAAAGAAAGTATCCTATTTCTCAGGCAGCCTGGATGCTTTTTCTGTAGTGAATGTTTTCCTGCTTTGGGTTGCAAAGGATAAATTGCAGTTGAAGAAAGTTGCTGCAACTGGACAAGCACCCACTATATGCTATAGGAGGAAGAGGTGCATCTTATTCTTGAGACAGCAAGGACAGCACAAATGTGTTAGGTGGTTAGAGGATCACGTTCCCTGGCCTGAAGTTTCCTGGTGCTGTTTGGGTGCCACTGCTCTTTTCTTCATGCAGTGCAGGTACACTGAGGTGAGCGCCCAAATGGTCTCTGCAGAAGGATACCCTCTCACTGCACAGGCTTTCTGTGGCATAGTTGTTGATTTAATGACTCTGTTCATAAACAGGCAAGTTTTAAATATTATTCTGGCAAAGGAATAATAGATGCAGTTATTTCTATAGGCAGCAGCACTCATCCTGATATGTTAAAGCCTGTTTGGTAACTGAAAGCTTGCCTTGCTTTCAAAGGATGTGCCCCTTGCCTGTGGTTTTGTTTAGGTTTGTTGTGTTTGCCAGTAAGAGTGGTCCTGGGAGCAGCCATTTTGCAAAAGCTCAGCAGCACTTGTTACCTGGCAACAGTATACGAAATTTCAGTTTTCAAAACCAGTGAAAATTTCAAGCAAGGGTTTTGCTGAGACAGGAGGCTTTGACTTCAGTGTACTGATGTGTAAGTGCAGAGGGAATGGGCCTGCTCTCCAGTGGGGATTGTCAACTGTTTAACTTGCTAGTGAAATAGGAGAGACTCCTTCACTCCCTGTTAACATCTGTCCCCTTCTAAAAGCCTTCAGGAGGCATGGAGGTCACCAGGTAACTTGTGCTATGCCACATACATGAAGTCAGGGCACATGCACTCTTCAAAGCAGTACTTACACTCTGAACAAACAGTTGCTTTACACAACATTTGAATACTATAAACTTCTGTATGACTAGTTGACCAAAGGAAAAATATGGGAATCCTGTGGGTGCAGCTGCACAGTTTAATAGCTCAGTTACTCGAACACCTGGACTTTGAGGGCAGATCTTGCATTCAGAAGCCAGTTTTGGAAAGCAACAAATCTATTATTTCCAGCCAACTCCAAATGTTGTGGCTAACCACTGTATTGCTGGACTTCACAGATCTTTCTGCAGGCATGAGGGTTAAAAATCACTTTTCCAGAACCCTTTGGTCTGGCACTTGATTCAGTAAATCTGAATTACCAGCTTAGTCTTTCTGATCCAAGACTATTTGCTCCTTGAACTTGCTAAGTTCCTTGTACTTGTTCTTTGGTGTTTTTCTGGTCTGCTGGGATTGCTTGTGTAAGAAAAGAGCTCTGACTTCACTGATTTGTGTGGAATTAAGTTTCTTACATGGGAGGTCTCTTAACACATCCTTTTTGGAGAATACTTTCCCTGACCAATTCAGTGTATTCTACCGGATAGACCAGTAGAACCTGACAAAAACCATCTGCAGCCAGTGTATTTGATGCAGTGCTATTTCTTTTAAATGGATACTGTGCCCAGCTGGTCATGCTTTTCCCTAGGTTCAGTGAATGAGAACCAGAGACCGTCAAATTCGTATAACGGAGACCTGAATGGACTGCTGGTGCCTGATCCTATTGTGGCCGGGGATGGACCTTCTCTGGCTAAGCCTGTGCATCGCAGCATTTCTTTGGGAGCTCTGCAGGAGAAGCAAGTCATGTAAGTTTTGTAGAAAAAATACTGGGAGTGAGTAGAGAACGATTAAAAATTGGTTCTGGTGAGCCTGTACAGGCATGCTGGGAATCTGAGGATGAGTTTTGCATTGAGTTCAGGTGACAGCTGTGAGTCTATGCTCTTGGTCAGAGTTGTTGTAGCTTTTGTGAGGCTGATGCATGGAGCCTGCCATCCTTGCTGTTCAGGAACTGAAAAATATCATCAGAGGTGTTTAGAGAGAAGGGGAACAGGACTGGTCGCATGGTGGACATTGTAAGTCCAGGATGGAGGTAAATTAGCAGGGCTGTAGGTGAGACTTAGCAATGTGGACCTCCAGCTGGGTTTCTTCAGGGACCCAGGTTACCTGAGGAGTAACTTATACCAGTTCACAGTACGTTAGACCTTGCACTTGTCAAAGTACTTCTTGCCACATAACTTAAAACAGGACAGATGGTCCTGAGCTAGATTTCTGCCTTTGCTGAGTTGTGCATATGCTTTGGTGTGTTTTGGGCAGTACATGTGCTTTTACTGCTTATATGCAAGAGGACATATGCATATAGAATACTTTGGATTTGTCATAGGAGTAGTAGTACAAATCCACATCAGTCTAATTAGTTTAATGCTTGGCTTTGTGTGCTGACTCTTAACTTTAGAGCTTGTGTAAATAGTTGTGGGTTTTGTGGTGGTGGTTTTGAGAGACGATGCCATGAGAACCATGAGCCGTGTGCATTGTTGTTGATGAAGTTCAACTGGTTGACTTTGTCTCTTTGCACCTTTCAGTGTTTGGTAGTAGTCAAGGCTATTTGAGCCAAGTGTAGGTCTGTGCTCAAGTGAAATAGACTGGACGTTTTTAAGCTCAACAAACCAGGTGTTTGGCGCTCTCAAACCTGTGACACATGGGGAAGGGAGACAGACTCTTAACTGAAGGTAGTTTCTGTTTTCAGTTGTTCAGCTCAAACCTCCTAGACACACAGATACTCCCTCTGCATTGCTGTTAAAATTATGAATAGCAAATATCTAACCTCTGTTCTCTTCCTGTGAGTCCTGTCTGATTTTGTTTCCCTTTGTTTTTCTTAAAAGCTGCCTTTCTGGTGATGACAGCTCCACTTGTGTAGTGATATCAGCAAAAGATGTGGAGATAGTGGCCAGCAGTGATTCCAGCATCACCAGTAAGGCCAGAGGAAGTAACAAGGTAAGGAGCAGGAGAAAGCACGGTTCTGTCTCATTTTGTCACATCAGCTCATGCTTGAATATTTTAAACAGAATTTACTATCTTCTTTCCTGAGCTACAGGAGCTTGTAATTAGGTAGAAGTTTGTCGAAGAACTTAACAAGGGGGAAAAAAATCGGAGTGGCATCTCATAGCTCATTGTTACTTTTTTTCCAAAGTCTGGCTAAGGTATCCTCTAATTTTCAGGAATAAGTCCGTGATCTAAGGTGTAGGTTTCTGGGAAAGTGCCCTTCCTTCACAAACAAGCTTTTTCCTACTGATTGTTTCTTCACTGGAAGGTCTTCACTATGGAGGGAGGATTGCTCTTGATAGTTTGCTAGCCTCAGTCCTGCTGAGGTCTCTACCCGACAGATTAGAGCTACAGAAGAACAAATATGCTGAGATTAGAACTGGTCCTGTAGCAGACTACTAAAACATGCTCAGAACAAATGCTAGTAATTAGGAGAGAACACTCTGGTCTTGATCTTCTTGGCCCTTTTGCTTATCATTTTGTTCTTTGATTAAGGGACCACAGCAATGGTAAATGAGTACTGTACTGTTATCATTGGTTTTCATAGATAATACTGAAGATAAAACTGAAAGAGAGGATCACTGCTATAATTTCCAGAGTATTTCTTGATTCTTTGCTCACAGAGACAATGCTTATCAAGTAAGACCAGGACACTCAGTTTCTTGGAAATCAGTATTGAAACTAAAAGGCAAGTGCCCATGCAGCAGACGTGTTTCTATATTGCAAAAAAGTTTGAGAGCTGGGAATCCAGACATAGTGCTAATAAACAGGTAAAGGCCGCTCTGCTATAGCTGCAGGGTAGAGTGTTGTTTTGCAGCATGACAAATTCTGTGAGTTGCATTCCTTCTTGCGATGGAAGGAAACATTCATCAGCCTCCAGAATTCTGAATGTTCAGGGCTCTGCATTCAATGTGCAATTCTTCTTACCAACTGCTGCTTCTATCCATTTCCTATTAAGCATTACAGATCTTCCTGACAGGAAATGGTATATTTGGCAGGTTTGTTCCAGGCAAAACTTAATTCCAGACATTTCTCATGTTTTGTTTTCTTTCTTCTGAGCAGGTGAAAATACAGCCTGTTGCTAGATATGACTGGGAGCAGAAATACTACTATGGCAATCTGATAGCTGTTTCAAACTCTTACCTGGCTTATGCCATTAGAGGTGAGATGCTTTCTTGTTTTGGATGTGATTTGTATTCTTTTCCTCTGTGTATCTCTAAAAGAGTCAAAGTTTGCATTAGAAGGAGGTAACTGGCAATAATTGAAACACATCTTGCAATACCTGGATCAGGGTGCTGTTGAAGTGGGAATATAAGTGAAGCTGGAGCTACAGGGGAGAGAAGAGTTGGTCATGTGGGAGAGTTTCTGCTGAGAAAGAAGGCTTTTCTGAAGTTAAAGAGAAAGACTCAGTGGTGATGGAGAGTTGAAAGTCTACATTGGTTTCACTGGGCAGTAAGCTGATGTTCAGATTACTCCTCTAATTAAATATTTCTGCAGCAAACAAGCTTCTCTGTAGCTAAGCACAAAAACAGCCCTGTGGTAATTTGAGCAGATAAATGTTTGTGATGGATTTGCTTGCATAAATTTGGAGTTGAGTTTAAGGCTAAATTTAGAGGAGCCAAAGAGCAATGCAGATGCAGTGTATTTTGCAGTAGGAAGGGAGAGAAAAGCGGAACAATGCAGGGATAGATTGTTTCACAACATATATGCAACAAAAAACACTTAGTCATCTGCAGTGTCTCTTCCTCCTCTCATATAAGCACACAGTGTTTGGGGCTCCATCATTGCTCTTCCCTTCTTAATTCTAGCACCTATCAGTTTAGCCTTTTATGAAATCTACTGCTCTGCTTCTCTGTTCTTTCCTAGCTGAGGTTATTTTAGAGCAGCTTTAGGGTGTCCTGTCCTTTTTTTAAAGTATTAAACCTTGAGTACAGTAACGCTATGGAAAGATGAGTTGTCTGCTGGGGCTGGCTTGGGCATCAAGAAGTGGAAGCAATATGGTCTCCATAAGACTGCCTGCATTACAGTGATTTTTGTCTGAAATGGGGAAGCTGGAAACTTTGTTTGGTATGTGTGTGCTCTAAAGCATGTTTTTTTCAGTCATGCAAGCCAAAAAACTGCTTTTTTGCCAGGTGAATGTTTATGCTCTTTACATTCCCATTACAGAACACTTGAGCTACCTGCCTCTCAGTGACTCCTTTTTCTCCAGTTACGGAGAAAACGAAGCTGCAATTAAAATTAACTCACTGTCACTGGAGCTCAGTCTTGGAGGTTCAGTAGCTTTACTATGATCTCAGGATAAAGATTTAGGCCTTACATTTAATGAAGGCATCTTTCATGAGAATGGTCCTGGTATTTACGAGAAGTCAACTTCTGTTGCCTTTAAGTAGAACAACTTAGATTTTTTGGTGCTCAAGAAACAGAAAATATGGGGAATTAAGACTGCCCCAGGCAAAGTCCTTCCTGATGCTGCTGTTCCAATCCTGCACCAACGCTGAAAAGTGCAGCGAATACTTATGCATGTACCCTGCGCCTTGAAAGGGCTTGTTAACATGGTACCTATTGATAAGGGTTTTCAGTGTGCTGCCAGTGACAGGTGGTGGCAGGATGGGTGCTGGAAATGACAAGCTGATGGCTGGAAACAGAGGCAGTCCTGTGAGAAACTGCACAGATAAATGGTGACTTCTCCCTCTGTCTTTTCTGCAGCTGCCAGCAATGGCTCCGCTATGGTGCGGGTGTTGAGCGTCAGCACTGCTGAGCGGACCTTGCTGAAAGGATTCACAGGCGGTGTGGCAGACCTGGCTTTTGCTCATCTCAACTCCAACCAGCTGGCGTGCCTGGATGAAGCTGGCAACCTTTTTGTCTGGCGCCTGGCCATGGATAAAGAAAAAATCCAGTATCTTGTCAAAATGCACCTCATATCAGTCTTTGTGTAATGATTAGATGTGAATGCAACCTCAAAATTGCAACTTATTTTACAGTCTTTCCAGAGTAGCAACTTGCGGGGGAAGGTCGGTAGTTCTGCCCCTTCCAGAGTATCAGATCAGTCAACTTGCACCTGTATTCGGCACAGTCATTACTTGAAATCACACGTAACTTGAAATTCTAGGAGTGACACTTCAATGCTCCTTCTGCTCCGGACAGAAGTAGTAAGTGAGAAGTGTCAGTCTGTACTAGCTGGCCTTACACATGGACAGTGTTACCTCAACCATGTGACAAAGCTTTTTATTCACGTTTGTCTTATTCTAGCTCTTCTCAGTTACTTCTCCAGGGAATAGGATGTAATATTTCCTTCCCACTCACTGTCTTCCTTCCAAACCTGTCATCCCTCTTCTTGTGGTGATCCTGAAATTTATTTTCAATGTCTGATTCATTGCCCTTGATATTTTCCTTTTTATTGTCCTAAATATTTTCATTGCTAGGAGTGACTTTTAGAAAGCACCTCCGACTGTGGGATATGTTGTCTTGGATTGTGGCTTCTTAATAGTATACCATTTTTTCTAAAGCAACTGGAACAAAGGTGGTTATAGTTGTTTAAGTTTTTCTTTGTAGGGGCAGACCAGAGCACTCAGCCTGGGGCAATGTGGTGACTTTTCTGTCTTTCTGTGGTAGTGTTGCCATGCTAGCTGAAATCATTTAATCTGTCCCTCAGCAGCTGTGTGAATTGCACATTCAGACATGGCTGTGTGCTCCTGTTGTGCTTATCCTGTCCCTGTCTGCAGGCTGCAAGAGAAAATTATGAGAATCTATTAACTTTTGTAAGCTTAACCTCTTCTGACAGTGAAGAAATGCTAGCTTGTCTGCTTTCTTAGCAGAATCCTTTTGCCTGATTTCTTTTTGAATCTCAATGATCCAAATAAGTTTGAGGTTTTAGGGTATTTACTGGAGGACCAAGCCTGAATGGGTTATTGCTGAGTGTCCATAGCCGGAATGTTAAGTTCCTTAACCGTGGTGATCAGAGAGGACATCTTGGTTAACATCAAGCGGCCTGACAATACCCCATTGAACACCTCTCGAAGAATCATCTGGTGCCCTTTCATCCCGGATGATAATGAGGAGAGTGGTGAAGAGGGAAGTCAGACATTGGCATTATTGCATGAGGACAGGGTAAGGAAACCCTGATTTTGAAACATCCTTATTACCATTAGAGGGAAAGAATCTAGTGAAGGAAAGAGCTGATACAGTTAGAGTGGTAAAGGCTCCTGTCTGGTCCATGTAGGGGATCCTCCTGTAATATGAGATGTGGGATTCCTCTCTTCCAAGAAGAGGTCATTCTGATATTTTTCTGGGCCTCAGGAGGATGGAAAGTGGTAATTTTACTCACCACCAAATAGTCAAATCAGGTAGATATGGGAAGGTTTATGTCAGACAGTTGCCATCGGTCTGGTATATCAGGATATAAGGTAAGGACATAAGAGATTCTCCACTGGATCAGACCAGTAGTTGCAGAAATAAACCTGTGTGCCTGTGTGTTTGTTTTCCAGGCAGAGGTGTGGGATTTGGACATTATCCGAACGAACAACAGCTCCTGGCCGGTGGAAGTGCCTAACATCAAAGAAGGCTTCATTGTAGTGAAAGGCCACAGCACGGTATAAACCTGTTTTGTTTTCTTTACTGCCATTGCATAGGTGACTGCTACAGATCACTTAGGGGGATTTGGGGTTATAGTGTCTCAGGAGCTGCAGTTCTTAGGACAGCTGGCTGTAAAAAACCCAGTTTCTTACCCATCACATTATCATCCACACACCCTATCGGTAAGTAGCCTTTGTTTAAAGAGCCAAGGTGAACGTGTAGTTTTTCACTTTGAAAATGGCTCTTGAAAAAACTCATCTGTATTTCCAGTAGCCTGTTTGACAATCTGAGCTGTCAGTATTTCAACTATTTTCTTATATCTCCTGGTAAATGGAACACTTAACACTGCTGTGGGTTACTGCTGGATGAGAAGGGGAAAATTAAACCAAATGTCATCTTTATTCATAAGAATAGTTTTATCTGTGAATGCAGTGGATCAGGACTGCAGCTGAGTATCCAATAGGTGATATTTTGAATATAAAAAAAACAACTGGAAAGAGTTCAATTTCACTTCTTGAACAGGGTAATGACAAAGTAATTTTATCATTTAGGAGAAACAATAATGATTGTGAAAACACAGAAGATCAAAGAACAAAATGAGCTCTGCTCATAACAGGAGGAACAGTAGGAACAGTAGCAGCACAGTCCATTGTACTTAAATTTGGTGTCTGGAATACGTGATTGTTAATTATTACTACAAAAACAAGTCCTGTCAATTCTTCTGTGAAGGGTTAAGCTGCCTGGTGACAAATCTGACAGAAATCACTCTGACCTGTACTATCGCACACTTAATCCAATTCCTGTTTGAAGAGAGTACTTTTTCTTCTTGTGAAATAAAAAACCTATAAAGTTACTTTTTTTTGTCTCTTTTCGCCCTCTGTAGTGCCTGAGTGAGGGAGCACTTTCTCCAGATGGAACTGTGTTGGCCACAGCAAGCCATGATGGTTTTGTTAAATTCTGGCAGATCTATATTGAGGGGCAAGACGAGCCAAGGTAACTGAAGAATGAAAATGAAGGGTGTTGGAACAGAGCATGACAATTTCTCTATGAGAATTACCTTGTTGCAGAATCACCTGCGATGGTCATTCTCAGGACATTATAAAGATACAGGGTGAATGTTTGTGAAGTGATTTGTTGCTGAAGAGTTGTATCACTGAATATCACACATGCTCAAGATTTGGTGAACTTAGGGGGGAAAAAAGCAGAGAGCTGTGTCTGGAAACAGGAATTCTGTGCTTTGCCCAAGCTGTAGTCAAACTCTTTTGCGCTGTCCCTGTAAATGCAGAAAGTTTCTCTGAGCTGTTCCTCTCAGTATTGACTTCTTTTATGTATTGGGCCCTTGTTAAGACACCAAACCAAGTAGCAACACATGATTCTTTTTTGGCCACAGTCTGTGACAGTATGGGCTGTTCTTTCCCTCTTTTTATATAAGCCTATAAACAGCTACAAACTGGTAACACTTGGTGGCTACTGACAATGCTGTTTTTGGACAAGGGGGTAATGTATTCAGCACCCATCTTACATATTCCTTATTACTACACCCTGCACACTCTTTTCTTTCCTAGGTGTCTTCATGAGTGGAAACCCCATGATGGTAGGCCTCTTTCCTGCCTGCTCTTCTGTGACAACCATAAAAAACAAGACCCAGAGTAAGTCCTCAACACTGTACTTGGAATATGAAAGTTTAGTAGTGTCTTCTAACTCTACCTTTGGAGGGTTCCTTGTAACTGCACTGTACTTGTAAAAACTTAGCTTTGTGGCAGAAGCAAGTCCTGTCCCCTTTGTAGTCGATTTTCTAGTGATGAAGAAATAAATAAGGCTCTAGAGCACAGCCTAAAGTAACCTTAATCCTAGTGTCAGTTCCATGAAAGCAGTGAAAATTCTGAGTCCTTTCAGGTTTGTGGTATGGTCAATTTTAACTGGCCTGTTATCTTCCACAAACTTCTATTGCAGTTGGTTAAAAAATAGCTTTTAAAAAAATATTATTATTGAGTTAGTTGTGGCTGTATGGTTCTTGAGAGCTGTAGCAGTTTCCAATCTGCCTCAAAAACACATTTTCTGGGAACTTTAAGACATGGTTAGGCAAAATCAGCTATGGGCAGCTTGTGAGAAACTTTTCTGTGAAATGTTCTTATGGGAAGGACCAGATCTTCTTTAAGAGAACTTAATTCTGCTGTGGCTGCAGGGTTCCCTTCTGGAGATTTCTCATCACGGGAGCAGATCAGAATAGAGAACTGAAGATGTGGTGCACTGTGTCTTGGACCTGTCTGCAGACTGTCCGGTAGGTGTTGGTTTGCTGACCCCTGAAGGGTTGGATTTACCTCAAACAGAGGATCATAACAAAATGCTCGATTTCCAGGTATATATACTTTGCAGAGGTGATCCTTGATTTCCGAAGGAGTCTACTCTAGACCTAGTTAGTCTCCTTTGTCAATCTCTTGAACATTGTTAGGGCTGTGGCAGACTGCTTTGGCCATGGCAGTTAAGCTTTGGCCAGGCAGGTTCGTCCTCTTATACAGTCTCCTTGGTGTTACCAAGACCTGTTGCATTCTCTTTGTTCTGTGGAGCACAGACATGCCTGTAGCATGAGCAGAGGCATTCCAAAATTGCATGCCTTGAGTGCTTGCTTCTCTAAAAATATTAATATTCTATAACCAATCTAGGATCTTTCCTATTATTGCTTTTTCTGATTTAAATAATGATAGGCTGCTGTGTTGACAGAACTTAAGCAGTTATACAAGGCTTATTTGCTGAGTTGTATAGGTACAAAAGTTCAAATTCTGCTTTAGTCCATCCCTTCACTCAGCTTATGTTCCCTAATTTTTCTGATGGTGGATCATGTCCTCTCTGATCACATGCTCACTTAAGGCCACTTCTGAATTGTCCTCTTAAAGTGAGAAGAATATGGTGTTCATCTGAGTGCTGCTTTTTCCACCTCATATTACAGAAAGTCCAAAACCTGTAGATGGGTTATTTTGGTTTGGTGAATTTGTGGTTTTAAATCTGTAGCATTGGCTCTTGTTCTACGAATGTGGAACATGTTAAGTAATGACAAACTGTCATCTTTCATTTAAATGTTCAGAATCCATAACTAGATCCTATTGTATGATGTCCCTGCTGGTCTCTTAGCTGAAGTTAGCACTGATTCCTGCAATGATTTTTGTCCTAGTGGGTGGTAGCACTGTAATATAGCTGTAACTCCTTAAGATGTTGGTTTTGTGTTTTAGCTAATGCAGTTTCATAGCAGTCATTCTGGTTGTGCTAATCTACCTTGCTTTCTGCACACCTCCGCACCCCTTGCCCCCCTCTTATTTGTGGATCTAGCTTTTCTCCTGACATCTTCAGCTCCATGAGTATTCTTCCCAGCCTGAAAGTCTGCCTGGACCTCTCCGCTGAGTATCTGATACTGAGTGATGTGCAGAGAAAAGTAGGTGGTTCATTTTATTGCTGGCTATGTGGGTAATGGTGACAGAAGGAGAAATGGCCATTTGTGTCACTGATTCTGCTGCCTAGGTTTAGGATTTGTACATTAATAGCTAGAAAAACAGAGGCTGGGCTCAGCTATTTCACCATAAGATGACAAATGATAACAATTTAGCTGATTAGTCTTGAGGAGCCTTAAAGATTACTTTTCACCGTAAAGTGAAGCTCTCACCCTGTGTCTGGCACAGTAGGATTGAGTTCCTGATCAGCATTGACTCAGATAGGAGTGTGCTTATTGTGGTTCTTATGGGTGTTCTGTTTCAAATTTAAATAGCCCAGGCTTTATTCCATGTCTTGTTCCGGCGCTAGGCTTTGTAGTCCACACACACCTCTGCGTGGCCAGCAGCCAAACACCACCCAGCTGCTCACTCACCCTCCCCGCCCCTGGGGATGGGGGAGAGAATTGGAGGGCTGAAGGTGAGAAGACTTGTAGGTTGAGATAAAAACAATTTAATAATTGATATAAAATAATTATGATTATGATAATAATATAAAGTGCAAACGAGTAACACGCAATGTGATTGCTCACCATCCGCTGACTGATGCCCAGCCGGTTCCCAGCTAGTGATCCCAGAGAAGGAAGAATCCCTAAACTGCAATCCCAGAAGCAAGAGCAAGCTTCTTGGTCAACTTTTTCTATATACTGAGCATGATATTGTATGATAAGGAATATTTCATTTCCCAGTTTGGGTCTGTTGCTCTGGCTGTGCTCCCTCTCAGCTTCTTGTGTACCTGCACACTAGCAGGACATGGAATGTAGAAAAGTCCTTGATTTCTTAGCAACAACTGAAAACATCAATGCATTATCAACATTATTCTCATATCAAATCCCATACGGAATCCAAAACATAGCCCTATTCTAGCTGCTAAGAAGAAAAAAAATGTTAGCTCTATCCCAACCAAAACCAGGAGAGTGTTGTCTGCTCTGAAAGCCCAGGGACTTACTGTTTCTGATTCTTCCAGGTCTTATATGTGATGGAGCTGATGCAGAACCAAGAGGAAGGTAAAGCTTACTTCAGCTCCATCTCAGAGTTCCTCCTTACCCACCCAGTCCTAAGCTTTGGCATCCAGGCAGTGAGCCGCTGTCGGTTAAGGCACACCGAAGTGCTCCCCGCAGAAGAGGAAAATGACAACTTAAGTGTAGGTAGGTGATAAAAACAATTTGCCCACTGTGAGATCAGGATGTTTTTCTTGACTGGTTTTCTCATGAAAGGCTGGCTCTCTTCTCTTAATCTGTATGAAATACATCCTGTGCACTAAAACACTTCCAAGCAGCACAGTTGAGTTGGATACAAGGGACCACTGGAAGTCTCTGGTCCAACCTGCTGCTTGAAGCAGGACTATTGCTGGTGGTAGATTGGGTCACCTATGGCTTCATCTACATGCTTGTTGAAGGCCCCCAAACATGACATTTCTGGCTCTGCTCTGGTGCCCTGTCCCATGGCTGCACCCTTTCCTAAAGAAAATGTGTTCCTAATATCCAGCCTGGACCTCCCAACCCAGATTGTGGCCACTGCTCCTTACCATGCAAACCCTGCAGAGATGTTTCTGTTATTAAAAAACCATTACAGGGCTGTGTGGGCTGAAGTGAGTGCAAGTGACACTTTGGTTAAGGTACAAGATTAGCTGCTCTGCATCAGTTGTGATGCTTTTGCAATTGCATAATGTCATTGCCCCCAGCAAAACACGGGGGACAACTTCCTCTGGCAGCACAGGGCTGAGTCCCTCTCCAGCACAGTTTGATGCAGGCTCACGGGAGCACAAGGGTTCCTGGAAGAACTGGCAAAATGTATTTCTGTCACGGCTTGTCTGAGTAAACTCTGTAGTTAAACATCAGAGGTGTGAGCATGTGGTCTGAGAAATCAATTGTTTGCTTCTGAATCATTCTGCCTGAGCTGTGACCGGTGTGAGGACAGCATGCAGTCTTGAGTTGAAGGAAAAGGTAGGGTTCTTCTCCATCGTGTCCAGAAGGCATATTGCCAAGCCACAAAGCTTCTTTTAACAGAAATGAATAAGTAACTCTCTTTTAGAGGAGTGACGCATGAAACATTTTCTCTGGCTATTACTACAATGAATGTAATAGCGAGTCCTGTGGAGAACTGTCCCATCCAAGTGTTCATTCATTGCTGTCTCTCTTCAACTGTTGGCTTGCTCCTGATCCCCTACTTTTATATTAGTAAAATTTGGAAAAATGCTTTGAATAACATGGACATGTTTGCAGTTAGAAAGATTCCCGGGCTATCGGTAAAGCAGTGTCATGTGCTTCCATAGGCCTAATATTAGTTGATTCCTGTTGTCAATATTTGTGGTGTATTGCTCTGAAATGCAGAAACAAAAATGATAGATACATGTTGCAAGTCAGCAGCAGACTGGGGCTGAAACTTCAGGTCCCTGATTGGTGCTCAGATAATTGGGACAATTTGCATAGGAATGCCTAATACATTTCTTTAATAGAGAGTGTTAGGTTTATCTTTCCTACTTAGGCCTCCTTAGCTTTCTTAGCAGTGAGACTGATACATGTGTTGGGTGAATGTTGTCAGCACTGGCTGAGGGGAAGTTATTGCAAAGCTTTTCATAACTATAGCTATTTACAGTCAGGAAGGATGGTTAAGCCCTAGTCTGAATGTCTGTACAATATAAGCTAGTGTGTGTTTTTTAAAATATACCCAACCAGTCACTGCAACAGCCAGAACAGATCTCTGGCAGTTCCAGACCTCAGCTTTCTCCTCTTTTTCTTGTTTAAATTTTTTTTCCCCTCTTCTTTGAGGCTTGCTTGGCTGGATTAGAGCAAATTTGATTGTTCTCATGCTGAAAAGTAAAGGGAAAGTAAGATATACTTTCCCTTAACAGGGCAAAGCCACCTCTGAAGCAAAGAGGTGATGAAGCTGTATTGTGCTGGTTCTCTGCTGCTGGTTCATTTACTATGATGTTTTCCTAGTACTTTGTTTGTAGTTTCCATCCAACTTCATGTTTTACTTTTGTCTTACTTCCAGAAGGTGCTCAGGGAGCTGGTGCTGTTGAATCAGCAGCAGGCGTGCTGATAAAACTCTTCTGTGTGCACACCAAGTGAGTATGTGTAGCAGCTACCATGGGCAGCTGTCTGTGGTTACCCTAATCTTGCACTGACTTGTAGAAAGTTAATTTACCAATCCCTTTTGCCATAACAAAAACTACTTGGAGCTATAGAAACTTAGCTGTGGTGTGTTCATGTGGCCTTACCAGGAAGCAGCACTTCATGGTGTGGTGGCAAGCTAGTATTTTTGTCACCATGAGTATGTTGTGACTTATGAGTTGTGCTCATGTATAAAGTGCTGGGAAGCATCTCCCAGATGCCTTGGGCACCAGAACTGAGTGGCACAGCTGAATGAGGATCAGCTGCTGCTGCTTCTGTCACAGGCGGGAAACACTGAAGCGTATTCCAAGGGAATCAGCTCTGTGAAGAGAAATCTTCTAAGTGTTAGACTTCTCTTGGTGATTCATAAAATAATTAGAGATGTCTGGTGTTTCTTTCAGGGCCCTACAGGATGTGCAGATTAGATTCCAGCCTCTTCATAGTCCAGACACGAGTTCATCCATGCCTTCCCATAGCTCTCACGAAGAATTTGGTGAGCATTTGTGTTCAGTTGATCTTCAGTGTTGCTGAGCTTTTAAAGGTGTTTGGGGGGCCGGGGGGGACAGCAGGAGGGCAGCTTTGGGTGTGTCTTTGTAATAGAGTGGTGTCATTGCATAAAGGACCCTGAATACGGACAAGCTGTGAAGCAGGCCTCTTGGTTAGACCCTAGTGTGAGTATGGAGCGTTGGGGACATGTTAGGATAGGAGTGCTTATGCTTTGTGCATGCTTGAGTTCACCTTACTAGGTGATTTAGCACTTCTGCCAGAAACTAGACTTCTGTCTCTTGTCAGGCAGAAGAGATTACAGTGACACCAGAGCTTTGGGGGTAGAGGAGACTGGGCTGTGTGTAGTGTGCCCTTTCAGTTCGTTCACCATTCTGTGATGTGGCTGTTAAAACTGGCCTTGCATGTGGGGAAGAAAGGAAGCTTGGACCTTTATTATCAAAGCCACAACATCCACTGTTTAGTATACAAAGAGTAAGCATAACACAGGATTTGCCTTGCCCTAAGCTTTGATTAGGGTGTTGCAGGGTTTTTGCTCATTCTTTTTGGAAACCAGTATGGCTGGCATAACTCCATACTTTGTGGAATTAAAAGTTTAGCTTTTGGGGATAGTTCCTCTAGACTGATTTGTCTTTCTCCCTTGAAAGCCTTTCCAGACCACATGGCTGATCTAAGCACAGAAGGGCTGGGATCTGAAAAAGGATCAGTGCATGGCTCTCAACCAGACCTACGGCGTATTGCTGATCTGCCTGTGCCAGCAGACTTCCTTTCCCTCTCAAATGATGCCAAACCTAAGCTGATGACTCCAGATGCATTCATGACACCAAGTACATCTCTTCAACAGGTAACCAGAGAGCAGCACTGTTATTGTCAGTACAAGGGGTGTGTTTGGATTTTGATACTTTTAGGAACTTTTTCTAGGCAGTACTAACTGATAGGCTATGCTAACTGAATGCAAAGCACACAGAAAATGGTGCATGTAACCAAACTGAGCAAAGGCATGTTGGCACATCTAAAATGCTAAGCTGGCATAAGCTTGTGTTGCGAGTGCTGTGTTTAGCTGCAAAACTGCTGATGTAGCTGTGTTGTGTAGAAATACGGGTTTGCTAAATAGCTGTATCTAAGCTGGGAGACTGCTCTTTCTGATTTATACATGTTGTTTGGGGTTGTGATATACCTATAATGGAAAAAATATGCCATCTCTACACTTTATGTCTTACGGGATCCTGTGGGAAGGCATGTCTGAAATTATGAGGTGTGTAGATGGTCCTGTAACATCTTCTGCATAATATCTGCAAATCGATGATCCAGTGGGGTTTTTTGACTGTAACATAGCAGTGGGGTTTTTTGACTGTAACATAGCAGGCCTTATCTTGTACAGAAGACAAGACTTCTGTGTGTGTTCTAAGGTTTTTGGTATCAGGAAGTATGTGAAGCATTCTGTGGGATTTGGTGATCTCTGCAATAAGCATGCATTGACTCCTCAGTGCAGCTCTGATGGAGCAGTCAGAAAACATAGAATTCCTCTTAGTGCTCTGTTACATGTCTGTGGCCAGCAGTGCTGTATCACATACCCCTGGGTCCTGCTGGGCATTTCTAGAGGCTGCCTGACACTGCCAGTGTGCATGTGTCTAACACAGCACAGGTTTCTGCTGCCCCTTCTTGGTTATGCCAACAAGTAGAAATGCAGGAGCTCGCTGTTTCTTGGCTGCTCTGCCTGTGAGTGTCATATGTTAGTTTGTCTTAAACCCACTCAGATGTTCTTGCTTTATAGCCTGCTTTTGTGCCTCTACGGAATTTGTACTGAATCTCTACTGAATTTTTGACTGTGTAGTTTTCTCCATGTGCTTTTAGAATGGGAGTAGACACAAATTTAAAAGTATTTTTAGAAGTGCATCCTGTAAGAGAAGTGATCTGCAACTTAATTACAAGGTGTGGATTTCACTGGTGAGAAGCTGTGCTGTTTGTTTTCTTTGCCTTTCTGTGAGAAATAGACTGTCAGCAGTTCTTTGCCATGCTGATACAGTTCTTGTAGGCAAGGAGAAGAGTGCTTGTGAGTAGGGCTCCACGTACAAATCCTGAGGCAAGGCTTTCCCCTCCAAGGGAGGAACACGTGGTTGTCACCACAGCTTGGACGTGTAACTGGAGGAGCCTGGATGAAGATTTCTGCACACAAAGATGTGCAGAAATGGAGTTTGTGCTGAGTTGACTAACGAGAGAGCACCACCCCAGCAACAACTTGAGGAACAAAGAATAATTTAAACTCCTCCTAAAGGTTTTGATGTCGCTGGTGAAGTTGCTGAATGCAGGAGTTAATTTTGTGCCTGCGGGTGGGTAGCCTCCCAATGCAAAGATGTCCCAGGGGAGCAGGGAGAAGTTGTTGATGAGGTGATGGTTCTACATACTGTTTGCTGTAAAGAGCAGCTCACTCTTCAGTGTCCTTTTTGGTTTAAACCTGGCTTTTCACTGCCGCATGTTTCATGACAGGCTTCTTCCTGCTGGCACCAGCACCCAGGAGCATTGTAGGGTGGAAAGTCTTGAGTCTGGCTAAATCTCTGCTCTCTGCCATAAGTACTGTCAAGTGTAAGCTTGGCCACACCAGCTTTCCCAGCTGAATACTTGTGTGCTTATGTTGGTGTTTTCTGTAGGTGTTTCTTGGTAGCCAGAAGCAGCAGTGGGGGCCAGCACTGTGTTCTCCACTGCTAGCCAGCTAGTTAGATGAGCGATACCTCTTCCCATGCATCAGAGCATTCTATTTCCATGTGTCAGCATTGAAGGACCCTAAACCCTGTACAGACTCCAGCCTCACTAGTGGAAGCAGACCTTGACAAGAGCAGTTTAGCTCAAAGCGCAGAATGGTGATCTGGTGCAGAACCCTGCAGAATGCCACTTTGTTTTGGGAGAGTAATTGCTCAATAAAACCAGTCATGGCTCGTGTGATGAGGATGTATTGGGGTTTACTTTCGACTAGCACCTGAGCACTCTAGCAGTACAACTCAATTTTTTTTTTTTTTTTTTTTTTTCCTCTTCACCAAAGATTCTTTAGGAATTCTTCTGGAGTCAGCATTCTCAGGTTAAGCTCTGCTGTTGGCCTTTTCTGTCACATCCTGACCACTGTGTATTTTCTTATAGATTGCTGTATCTCCAGGCAGCAGTGTCAGTTCCCTGACTGCAGTCACAGCCATGAGTAGCACTTCTGTCACAGATGCCTCTATGCCCAGGTAAATAGCGCATGTATTAAATAATACGTCTGCAGCTGAACTGATATGGCCCTTCAGGGTGGTGCAGAGCTGGAGTGTATCTTGTAGGAGAGGAGATTGTAACTAGAGTTAGAAACTGGCCTGTGTCCCAATGTCCCTGTATGGGTAACTGCATCTCTAATGCAGTTTGGAGCATGCTCATTGTCATCCAAGGGGCCAACAGTAGTGTTTCCTTTGTGCCTCCTAGGGATTCTCTTATTGCATCTCAGTTTTGTTGCTTTACATGCTTCTCCCAAAGGGCTGTCGTTGTTTACAGGTAAGAGAACACTGCAGCCACCAAGGACAGGGAGATAATTGGGACTGTTACGAAAATCTTACTAGTGTTGTGGTGGGTTGGGCTGCATAAGAGGCGAAAACTTCATTTCTGTGGGCTGGAAAAAGGACAAAGACCTATCCCACAGTGTCCTGTTTCTCCTTAAACTCTACAGTGTACACTGAAGATATAACTAGTCCCTTTTCTCATTGACCCCTTGAATTCTAAGAGATTGTGATGCCCATCTGTTGTGTTGGGGTTTTTTGTTTGTTTCCACTTGGGCTGTATGGAGACTAGTGCAGCTGCCTGTTGACAGGGAGTGGCTGACTGTGGTGGAAAGAGTAAGGGCTTGGAGAACACGAGTGAAGTTTGGATTGGTGACCTGTGGATCCTGTCTCCTCAGGTGTTTCATGCAGATCTGTATCATTAGGTTGGCCTGCTTGATTTGGTTGTGTATCTGTTTTCTGCAGGCCATCAGAAGACTTGACTGTGAGCCCCAAGATGCAGCTGGACACCAGCCTCACGCTGAGTAGCAGTAGCAGCAGTCTCCAGACTAGTCCTAGGAGTCATTCCGTTCTTATCCCAGGCCTCCCTGACAAGCTAACACCAAAGGCACCTCTTCCAGTAAGACTCCAAATGCTGCTCCCTTCCTTCCTGTGGGCCAAGGGACCTCTTTCGATGGATCTATACAAGCTTATTAGATTTAGACTTATTTGGATATTAACAATTAGATATTTGGATATTAACAATTAGACTTATTTGGATATTAACAGGGCCAGTGTCTCCCCTTGGGAAGGCACAGCTCTTGGCACAGATCTGCAGTCAGGTTTACCCATGTTAATGGAACTTGACCTTGTGTAAAACAGCATGTCTCTGAAAACTAGAGAAAGCTCTAGCTTGTGCTGTCACTATCACAGTGACTGGAAATGGTCAGCCTTTGTGTTAGGAGACAGTGCTACCTGAAAAAGTTTCTTCCTCCTTGCTGGTGTTAAAGGTCTGAAACAATTTTCTATTCCTAAATTTTTCTTTCCAGGTGTGATGTAAAACAGATTATGACCAAAGCTTAAATTGAAATAAGCTTACAGTCCAAGAGATAATCAATGTTAAAACTATTTTTTCCCTTCAAATAGAAGTGATCTTGGAGCAGAGAGGTAGAACTGGTGTTACATTTTCTTTTAAAAGTGTGTTCAAACTAGTACTGTCTGAAGTGTGTTATTAGCCCAGCTGAGAGCCCATTACGAGTCTTGGGGCCCTTCTCTGTCTGCTGAACAGAGTGGGAGCACAGGGGTCACATGAGGGAAAGATACAGCTGGCTGTTTCCAGAGGTGGTTGGTACCAGCTGATTCTCGGGTGTCTCCACATTACCCTGAAGGGTCTTGTTTGATTTTTTTATTTTTTAATTTTGAATTAAGGTCACGCCAGGAAACCCCTCTCTAGCATTGGAACTACAGGAGGTGGAGCCCTTAGTGGTGCCCCAGGCTTCTCCCACCCGCGAGCGCTCGCCAGATGTCATTTCCTCTGCTTCCACAGCCATCTCCCAAGATATCCCAGAGATTGCTTCCGAGACCTTGCAACGCAGCTTTGCAGCAGCTCCGTCTGGGCTCCCTACGGAGGTGCTGGAGCCCAGTCATCATGCAGACAGTATGGCATCTGCTGCCTCAGCCTTGCATTTGCTGTCTCCAAGGAACCGGCACAATTCAGAGCACAGCCACCACTCTTTGGACATGCCTCCAGTGGAGGTGGACAGACTGAATGCTCCATCGTTACTAGAGACTGCTTTAACTCAGGAAAATGCATCTTCCGACAGTGTTGTGAGTCAGCCTTGGCCAGCAGCTCCTGACATAACCAGAGAAACCAGGAACAGCATGGCAGACAGGTAATCACTTAGAAAGAAATTGCTTAGGGCAATTTCTTTGCACTTGCCAAATTGCTGGCTTAGTCAAAAGCTCTTATGCTGTGATTAAACCAGATCAGTTATCCATCTCTCTTTTCTTTAAAGGATCTGATGACCCAGCCTTTCTGTGTGCTTGGGCTGTGTGTACTGTGTCCTGAACTTCCTAGGCCAGCTCTAAAAATTTGTGCTTTCTTAATATCCCTTGCAGCGTAAAGGTTCTGTTAAGAAGGTGAAGAGTGTACTTTGTTGGCCTTCACATTCACCTGGGAATGGAGACTGAGATGGGAATTTTTTTATTTTTTTTTTTTACTATGGAAATAAAATCAGTACAAGCTAAATTCTGCCCTGGGTGATGCATTCATGCATACTTTTATTGAAAGAAATCAATTAGCACATAATGTACACAGGTTTGGTTATAAGTTAATGGTGTATCTCTTTTCTAGGATAGGCTCTGTGCAGCTAGCATTATAAATAAAGTGCTTCAAAAGTCAGGAAGTGAATGACAGTGTCTCTGTGGAGCAGGCTTGCAGAATGGGGCAGCATCACATATACCTGCTTACTAGCAGCAAAACGTTATGCTGTGAGCAGTGCTAGGATTCATCACAGAATTAGTGTCCCTGTCTTCTAGTGAGATGGGAAGAGCAAGGTACATCTGACATCTCCAGAGTCGGTCTAGGCTGGGGCTGCATGCAGCATCAGAGTCTGCAGACACATTCCTTTTCAACAGGAGTAACACGCTGACAGTGTCAGTGTGGTCCCTCAAAACTATGCAGGGCTGTTCCCTTCCATCAGAACTGCAAGTGAAAGGCCTCACCTTGTGCCTCCACACTTGAGGATACTGCTTCAGGCAATGGTCTCAGCTCTGATGGCTTTGGGGAGGTCACTCTGGCTGTGTCTCTATGCAGTGTTTTTGGTTTTGCTCATAATTTGAAGTTGAGAAAATACTTTTATAGTATATCACTCTGTCTTGAATTCTTCAGGACTTCTCATATCAGAGTATCAGATCAGATATCTCTGCATCTGAGATAAATTGTATTGATGCACAAGTGAAGTTTTTTGACATTCCAGCTCAATCAAGCCACCAGCCTACATGAAATTAACAAGTGCTCATTTCTGTTCCAAGTTTTTTCTGTGGACTGTATTCAAAGAGACCTGGTTTATGGCTTAGGAGCACGTGTAACTTCCAATTTCCTTTCAGAACCTTTACGAAACTCAGACTGGATTTGCTCTTGCAATTCTGTTCTGTCTAGTAGAGCTAACCCATCAGATTGGCACACTTCCCTCTGTGTGCTCCTCAGACACTTGAAAGAACTGAGAAGCACTAACTTTTGCCCTTGTCATCAGTATTATTTCAGGAAAAACAAATCCAAGGTGGTGCTGTTCACTGAAGTACACAGTACTGCCCATTTTGAGTAGTGGCTTACCTGTCTTGCATGAGTGTGTTGGGAGATTGTTCTTGGTTAGTGCCTGAAGCATAGATGAGCTCCTTCTCCCTTCTTAAGGCTTCCAGAAAAATGCTTGGAGAAGTTTTGAGTGTTTAGTGCCTCTACACAACGCTTGCTGCTCTCTGGATCTGTGCAGATAGATGTGGGGTTTTGCTTGTTTTAGACTTTCTGTCAGCATCTCATGAGAAGTAGAGTGAGCAAATATCCAAGCTGGAAGAGACTTTCATAATGCTATTTTCTTCCTTTTTTTTTTTCCTTCCCTCCTCTAGCCCAAGGGATGAGGTTGAAGAAAAGCACAAGAGCTCTTCCTATCATCGACACAGCTACCACCTGCTGCAGCATGACAGCCAGGATGCCAGTGCAGAACAAAGGTACCTGAGTGCTCAGCCCCCTCTCTCACCCTGCATGGACTCAGTTCAGTCTGCATTCATGCTTCTGTCCCCAGCAAGCCTTCATGTGTGGGGTGAATGTCTTTGCTTTGTCTCTTGACTTAATGTGTGTATGCAGTCCAGCTTCTGTAATGTTCTGATGACTTCAGCTGATGATGAGGTTGGCCTCTGGACATTGTCCAATTTACTCTCTGTAGGGAAAAGTTTGACTGCAGCTCCTAAGGGCATGGACCAAGCTTGGTTTAATTATCAGTTAAAACCTATTAAGGGATCAGTTTCCAAACTGAGTGCCTTAGATAAGGTAGCAAGGATATCTCAGGAGTTAGGGTCTTGCTTTTGACCCCTTTGCTCCCTCATAAGCCACCCTAAAGCTCTTTGGGCATGTTCTGTGTGCCTGGCAAGCTCAACCTGGTTTGACAGCTGAGGGTTCATTTATAATCCAGATTCAGACTGAAACGAGGAGCCTATATTGGATGGCTGGTCAGCAGCTGAAAAACTCCAAGATCCTGAGGATCACATACTTCCTAGGCTCAACCTGACTCTGCTCTGTTCCCACAGTACTTGCTGTAATGTGCTTTCTGTCTGCAAAGCTGCATGGATGTGCTGTGCTTGCGTTTCCCTGTTAGGTCAGCATCACATCCTGGGGGTTACGTGCTTGTGTGTGTGCAGCAAGAACAGGCGTCATTCCACCACACTGCCTGAACCACAGTCATCCCCTAAGAGACCCTTCAGGGCTTGCTGTGCAGCACTTGAGCTCAGCCTGAGGCAGACCTGGATCAAAACAGAGCAGCATATCCTGAGCTCTGTAGAAGCCTCTGTGTTAAAGCTCAAGGTGGCAGGCATCCTTAGCTGCATGACTCTGGCCATGTGTGGAGGAAGAGCAGAGTGTGAATCCCTTCCCCTTGGTAAAGGCTAACACTCTCCAGTATTGCAAGTGATGTCCTCTCCCCTGCTGTTCCCTCATAGTGACCATGATGATGAAGTTGCAAGCTTGGCTTCTACGTCAGGTGGATTTGGTGCCAAAACGTCTACGCAGAGGCTGCCTGTGAAGGACTGGAAAGCCAAGGCATCCCCTCGGGCTTCCCCAAAGCTGAAGCGGAAGGGCAAGAAAGATGATGGGTATGCTGGGCTTGCCAGAATGCAGGTGGCTGTGGGGCAGCTGTTCAGGACCACAACCTGATGTGCTATTAGCAGTGAGACTAGGGTCTGAGGCGGGGCAGCAGCCACATGCTCCCAACCCTCACCCTGTTTTGTACTGGCAGTAACCCCACAGAAAGTGTTGCTGGTTACTCAGACACTGACTGCCACACAGGGGTGTGGGAATAGGTTCTGCACTACCTTTACAGCTGAGACTCAAAATCCAGAATACAGCTTGAGTTTCAGAAGAATATGTGGGAGGTAAATTGCATGTTGTGGGGGCACACTGGATCTATTTGCTGGTTTTAGTAAAGGCTTCATTGGAACTGAGACACTGTGAGTGTAGCTTAACGTGGCCTCCATTTCTGGTTGGCTTCTGAGCGCTGGCACAGTGCCCTTGTTCAACAATATCTATCATTTGTTACCTGCTTGATGCTTTTGTGTGTTTCTGAATGTGCCCATATGAATGTCTTGTGAGTGGAAGTTGCTGGCTATAATGATCTGCCCATGGGAAATTAGACCAACCTGTCTGCATTAATGTGAGGAGAGCAGCACAGCTTCTGCACAGGGCGCTCTTCTCTTCTGTGTTCCCATAGCTCTGTGGTTTGGATCTCTGGCTGTGCAGATTACAACAAAGATGGGCTATGGCATTAAGCTTCTGGCTGTCATCCTGTACTATGACACTGAAGCCCTTAGCCTCAGAAATGCCTTTCATTTTTCCTGCCTCTGTCCTTTTAAAGTTGCTGAACGGATGCTGTCTGGGAACAACAAATGTTTACTTTCCTTTTTGTAGGGTTTGAATATTCATAGATTTGTGACTTGGAGGGAGTCATGCAATATTAGTGGCTCAGTTCAGTGTTTTTCTTTATTCTGCTATATATGCTGGAGGGCATTGCTGGTTTCTTCACCTTGAGAGCTGGAAACATTCCAGATGATTTGAAGCTCATTAATTTTATATTTTAAAAATTGGGTTTTCTTTGTAAAATATCAGGAGGCCTTCAAAAGCTGTTTGGCAAAGCCTTCCTTGGCTTTGAATTTAGACAAAACTGAAAAATGAGTGTGCATTGTTCTTTATAACAGTCCTTGTTAAGACTTGGTTCAAATCTCCTCCCTGTGAAAGGACCAGTCTGTAAGGAACTTCAGGGCCTGTGGATAGTGCAAACGGTGGAGTCATAGTGCTGGAAGGACTGTGATTTCATCGCCTTCCTCTCACTCTTCATGTTCCACTAGGCAAAACGGAAGTATGAGATGGAGTGTAAAATCTAAAGCAACTGTGAAATGTGTGATCTGTTTTGGCAGAAGACTTGGATAGTAAGAGTAGTTAATTGACATAATTGGATTACTACATTTTTATTTCCAGGGATGTGAACCAGTCGCCAAGATCATCTAACAACCAGGTGAGTCAGAGCTGCTCTGCAGTCCATCCCAAGGGCATGATGCTTCAGCTCTATTTACTGTCTCACTAAAGACCTGAGAGAAAGTTCATCCCAGTTCCTTGAAGTGCAGTGGGCCACTCTGTACCCAAGCAGGCTGCGATGGGGCTGCGCTTGAGCTTGGCATTGCTCTCTTCTCTGACTGTGAAGCAGAGAGGGAGCTGCTCAGTGTTATCCAGACTGATGGTTTCCTTCCCACCTTTACATATTGATGTCCGTTTCTGTTCTCACGAGTCCTGTATCATCCAAGACACTACCACTCATTTCCTCTTCCCCGCTGAGATGACTCGGATGTGTTGGCAGCAGGATAAGCTGTTCCCAGCAAAGTAAGAGTCACAGTGGGACTGGCCTATTATAATTTCCTATCCCTGGTGATAGTGCCTTCATATCTAGCAGAAAGTGCCCTCAGCTGAGTTGTGTACGCTTCTTAAACTGCCCTTGATGTGTGTGGCGCCTTTAGATATTTTGAGCAGGTGAAAAGACAATAGATGTATACTTCTCCAGTTGTTTGGTTATTCATAAATAAGTGCTGAAAAAGTGCTCTAGGAAACCTCCTTCTTCATCTAGTGATCACACGGCTCTTTTCATAAGTGTTTGAGGTCATTATTTACATTTAGAGGCCTAAATGCTCTCTCAGTACCTGGCCAAAAGTGTTTTCTTCTGGTTTTTTAGATTTGAAGAGAGTCTTGAATGTAAGCAGTTGAGGTATTCTAAGCAACCATTTATGAATTCCATATAGGAACTTTATGTACCTTTATCAGTTTATTTCTTGGGACTAAAGTCTTAAACTGGCCCTGTTTTTCTGTGTTGTGTGTTACACTTCAGTTGACTTAGTCAAGCTTTCTGATAGGCACTGACCTCCAGTCCTGCTGAAAATGACTGCTTGTGCTCTCCATGCATAGGTGACACCGGAGTTCCAGGATGAGCTGATGTGCATGTTGAGGAGCCAACAGCGGGAGCTCTCGGAGCTGCGTCAGAACCAGATGGAGCTGCTGCAGAGGCTCACGGATCACCTTGATGCCGTTCAGAGCTCCCTTATGGGCCATATGGAGAGGGTGATTGACTCCCAGCAGGAGCAGGAGCGTATCTTTTGCAAGTGTGGCATGGCACTTAAGGAGTGGAAGGATGCAAAGCAGACTAAAGACCTGAGGAAGGCTAAGAAAGTTCAAGGATCTTGGTAGCTTGGGCCATAGGTGCAGTAAAGTTGCTGGCTGCAATATAACTACTTCAGTTCTTCTCAGTCCCTGTATAAGGGCAAAATGCTCAAAAGTAGGGTGGAGGAAAACTCATACTTTCTCCATGCCACTAAATATTCTAGTTACCCGTTAAGACAGTAAGTGCTGCAACACTGCAGCAGGCAGTGGCTAGCTGCACAAAAGTAATTATGGGTTGCTCCATTCCTTCCTTTCTTCCTAAAGGCAAGTCAGTACTTGCACCAGAAATAGTATCTGACTGCCGTACTGCATAGCTGAATATAGAACTATCTTGTCTATACCCATATATACTTCTGGTGGTGCACAGGTCCCTTACATGTTTTCTGAAAAGTACTTTCTTTTGGTGTTTTCAAACCTGGTACCCAATTATTTTTATTGTATTGTCAGTAGTTAGTTCCTGTACATCTTTTGCTGCACTGAATTTGGTCATGTTCGCTAAACTGAGCAGCTCTAGCCTGTTTCATGTTTGAAACCACTCTTAACTTCTACGACATGACAGTGATTTCTGTTTATTAATTACTCTTGGATTTCTCCTTTTTGATCATCAGGCTGATGTTTTCATAGATAATTCAGATAGCTTTCTACTGAAGTTTGGAGTCTAGAGCTATATTGTAGTATTAGAGTAGTTTTTTCCTATCTGCACTGAATTTTGTCAGTAACTGAATTGTCTTTTCACTTTTTGTGGGGTTAGCTGGGTTTTTGTTTTGTTGTTGTTTTTTTTTTAAGATGCACATGCATCTCAGAGTTTGTGTGTTGGCTCCTTCAGAGAGCTTGGTTGCTTCATGAGGTATGACCAGTTTTATTTAAGCCTGAGGTTGCTTTTGTACACTATATTGCTTATGTCCACCAATTCCATCCTGTGGAAACTATTTACCAATTTGCTTTTTAAGGATATTGGGCTACTTTGTTTCTGTAGTGGTTTTGGCTGAGATTGAGTTAATTTTTTTGATGGCAGCTGGTGTGGTGGTTTTGGATTTGTGACCAAAACAAGTTGATAATGCACTAATATTTTTGCTATTGCTAAACCTTGTCAAGGCCTTCTCTGTTTCTCACACTACTCCACCAGTGAGCAGCCTGAGGGTGGGCAAGCAGTAGGGAGAGGACATAGCTGGGCCAGGTGACCCCAACTGACCAAAGGGATGTCCTATACTGTATGATGTGCTTGGCAGTAAAAGCTGGGATAAAGGAGGAGGAAGAGGGGACATTCAGAGCGATGATGTTTGCCTTCCCAAGTCACTGTTACCTGTGATGGAACCCGACTGTCCTGGGGATGGTTGAACACCTGCCCGCCGATGGGAAGTAGTAAATGAATTCCTTATTTTGCTTGGCTTGCATGTGCAGCTTTTGCTTTGCTTATTAAACTGTCTTTATCTCAACTTGCGAGCTTTCTCACTTTTGCCCTCCCTGTTCTCTCCCTCATCCTGCTGCAGAGGACTGAGTAAGCAGCTGTGTGGTGCTGAGCTGCCTATGAGAACAACGAAGTTAACCCACAGTACACAGGGAACAGCTCTCTTGAGCTTCTTCTAGCTCTTTGGCTTTTCCATCACACCTTCCAGAGCTCTTCTCTCACCCTGATCGTTTGCTTACGAGCACCCTGTTGTTACAGGAACACATCAGCAGTGTTATTAAATCCCTCTTTCACCAGAGCTGTAAATTTGCTCTCACTGAGCTTCTGGAGGTGAGGCTAGTGTCCATCTTTGTAAACCAGAGTGTTGAGGGTGGAGAGGAAAAGGAAATCTGTTGTTTGTATTCCTTAACATGCATTCTCATTAGAGAGAAGGCTAGACCGAGCCCTGACGGAAGGACAGCAGCGCAATGGGCAGCTCCAGGAGCATTTGTCTCAGCAGCTCTCTCAGACCCTGTCCACTGCTGTGTGTAACCGTCTGGAGAGGACCATTCGGGAGGAGATGAAGAAGACTGTACCCCAGTGTGAGTGCTGAGCCTGGGTTTGGAAGGTGGATCCCTATAGCCCCGGCGGGACTGAAAACATGCTGTGTAAAAGTGTTGGCACTGTGTGAAGTAGGAATTAGGTTACATGAAGACTAGTCATTGAACTTTAAACTGTTGCAGGCCCCAGTGTAATCTGAGAAGAGGAGTTGTGGTTTGGAAGGAGTGTGAGGCTCCCAGAGGGGATGCCTTTCCAGAGAATGTGGTCTGACCTTCCGTTATAATCCATAAAGCTTCTGGAGTCTGTTTGGTGGAGGAAGGCAAAAGAGGCTAATGAGTATGGAAATGTTGAGACTTGACAGAAGCGAACTTAAACTTGTCTTTGTCCTTCCTTGATGCTCTGGCACCATCCATGTAAGGAAATGTTCAAAGAAATGCTTGTGGGAAAGCTGTCTGCAGCCATTAGTGTCCACCATCCTGCTTGAAGCAGGGCTGCCCACTATTCTGCATAAGATCAGCTGTGACTTTGTCAAGGCAAGTCTTGAAAACCTTCAAGACTGGAGATTCAACAGCCTCTCTGGTGAATTCCAGAGCTGTACCACCTTCCTAGCAAAAAGTTTCTCCTAATGTCCAACCTTAGTTTCCCAAGGTAGAACTTGTCCCATTGCCCCTTGCTGTGTCATATCCAGGAAGAGTTTGACTACTCTCTTTTTCATGTGACTCAAGCTTAAACCTGCAACTGTGAGATGTTTGTGTTGTGCCTAGGCATTTCCAAGAGCATGGACCCTATCACTGGCCAGCTAAGTAACACTATTGCTGCCAAGCTCACTGCTGTTGAGGGGACACTGAAAGAGAGTATCACCAAGCTAGTGAAATCAAAGGTAAGAAGAACCAGACTGTAGCTTTTCCTGGGGATACTGAGTTGTCACCTGCCTGGGTAGTGACTCCTCATACCTCTTCCCCTCACCTGTATCTCCAGGTAAGGTCAGTTTAGCTGCCAGTGGTTAAAGCTCTTTCATGGTCTTACCAGGAGAGCAAGTTCATTGTATGCTCCCCTGCCTGCCTTGCCTCATTTTTGCTTTTCTTTCATTTAATAAGTCCTTAATTTTTTACTAGAGATTCTCACTACAGCAGTGGTTTTTAGGGCCAACTCAGTCAGCCAAGTGGTGAAGGTTTGACTGCTCTTCTGCTTTCCACTCTGCTCTTCATTTGTACGTCATTTAGGGAGCAGAAGCTTGTTACTTACCTTGGCAAGGAGTGGTGGATTGTGGGAGGGAAGAAAGAGAAGGGGAAAGGAGCCATGTCTGACTGTGCCACCTTCCCTTGCTCTGCAGCTCAGCTACAGGGAAATCGTGATGTTCTTGGCCAGCCCCTCAGCAAGCAGATGCTCTGCCTGCTGTAGTCACGGTGCAGCCTGGTCAGTGGAAGAAGCTGAGGGAGTACATGCTTCTGACACTGGGTTGTCCTTTCCTGGTGTGGGTGTGTTGCAGGGACCTACACTGTTTGTTCACATCTTTAGTCTGCAGCAGACTGTTGTTAATTTTCTGGAATCTCTTCTGTATGTTTTTGTAAGAATCTTACAGATAGTATTGTGAGGGCAACGGCTGATATCCTGCAGGGGCCGATCCAGTCAGCTTACAGGGAAGCATTTCAGAGCATCGTGTTGCCAGCCTTTGAGAAGAGCTGCCAGTCCATGTTCCAGCAAATCAATGACACCTTCAAGCAGGGCACACAAGAATGTGAGTAGGTTTTCTTCTCGGAGTTTTCTCTGCACAGCGTATTTGTGTTAGTGGCTGACAACAGGTTGGCCTTATGTCTTTGCCTTTCAGAGTTTCACTAGTAACTGTTTAACCTCTTAGCCCACCTGTGTGCTCCATTTCACACTTGGGAAACAGAAGCATTAGTGAGAAAATTTCTGTGGGTGGTGCTATAAGAACAGAGATTCACCTCTGGTCTTTGTAGCCAATGCAGCAAAACATTTGGCCTCATTCTGTGAATCAGTCTTCATTTATTGAGTAGTAAAGCCCAGCTGTATGATCACCCCATCCTGACATCAGGAAGGTCATGGATGGAGAGGGTAACAGTCCTGCAGCTAGGCCCTCATCTCAGAGGGGTAATGGACTGGGGAAGGTTTAGAGAAGGATATGGGGGTGATCAGAGGTTAAATAGTGGCTGAACAATGTGGGCATGGTCAGGCTGAAAAAAAGAAAAGTATATCCTTAGTAAGGAAAACTGTACACTGATGCACTGGAGGAAGTCTTTACTGTTCTTGGCCTTGGGATCCAGTTTCCTGGCCACCTGGGAGGCCAGGTAGGTTTTACTCCACAGAATTGGTTTCTGAGGGGCCCTGAAGTTGACTACTGCTAGCACAGCGACTTGTGTTGTCCATAGATCTGCTGTTTATTTTGCACCCTTTCTCTTCATCACAAGTCTCCTGCAAGTAGATAGAGCTTATACTCTTTCCCTTTTGATACATTCTTCTTTCTCCCTTTTGATCAGACCAGTCCATAAAATATTTTAAAATACAGCTTTTTGATCTCTGCAGACATGATTTTCTTTTTTTTTTTTCTTTTTTTTTTTTTTTTTTTGTCAAAAATGCTCCTCCTCTTTCTTCACTGGCATTAAACTCCATCACTAACGCAGATCACAGCTCATGCTGTGTATGAAATAAAATACCCTTACTCCCATCTTTATCTTGCCCTTGACAAACAGTGCCTGTAAAGGTCTGTCACAAGATAACTCACAGCTTTGTTGCTTTATCATGTAATCCTGCATGATGGGAAGGCTGGAAGCAGGGTTTCTAGGTTAGTGTAATGCAGCCCAGAACAAGGCTTGTGCATTCTCCCCCCTCTCCCACGATTGTACACTGGCTCAGTAATTGTTTCTGCTGGAGAACGTGTAGAACCTGGCAGCTGGATTTCTGCCCTGACCATCTCCTCATGTACTGATGGCACAAACATCTTCCTCTCTGGTTGTTGCAGATATCCAACAGCTTGAAACTCACTTGAAAAACAAGAAAGTACGAGAACAGGAGGCCCGGGACCCACTGCTGAATCAGCTTCGACAGCTCATCAGCACCTTCCAGAGCACCACCGAGCAGCTGGCGTCCACTGTCACAGCCAGTGTCCATGCTGAGGTCCAGCATCAGCTGCACATTATCGTGGGCAAGTAAGTTGGCAGCTGGAGAAGAGGTGTCAGCAAGAGGTGTACATGTGTGTAACAAAAACCTCTCCCTGCTAGGTGTGGAACAAGCTGTTTGCCACTGCAGGGCTGCTTGTTGACTCTGTGCAGTGTGACAAAGCATGTGGGCTGGTGTAACTGCTGCCCTGTAGGACACAAAACAAAGACCGTAGAAGGTTTCTAACAATGAAGTGTATCATTGGTGCATCTGGGAGCTCAGGGCCTGCTTTTCACAGGGCATGTTGGAGGACAGAAGGACCTAAGGCAGCCCAAAAATACACTCAATTCTGACAAGTGTTCCCATCCTGAAATGTTCTTGTGGTCTCTTGAAGGCTTTTCTTCCTATCTCTGTGTCCTCAGGCATATCAACAGTTTCTGGAGGCTGTTCTGTCCTCCCAGCTGCTCTGCAGCAATTTGTTCTTGGCCACCCTGGTTTCAAGAGGTGATCCCAGCAGTGCCTTCAGCATATTCATGCCTAAAGCTGGTGGTGGGTTGCCAGGTGTTACAACCGGTGGTCACCTGTGAGGCAGAACACCCCTGTATTTTTTTTTTTTTTTAAGCCACTAGAACATATGTCAGAGCACATTGGGGGCTTTGATGCAGACCAGACTTCCCAGGAAGGCTGCCAGACTAGATTTTGGTCTTGTTGCATGAGTTGTGCTTGCTCCCAGAGCAATCCTGCTGTTGTGTCTGTGGTAGAGCAGGTTTGATGCCTTTGCACTCTTGGTATGAGGGGGGAGGATTGAGCCCCTGGGGGGGAAGAGTGTAACACACAGCTGTGGAGCCTGCACTGTGAACTGGTCTGCTCTGGAGAAGTCAGGAGGCTCAGTGAAAGGGTGTTCTCATTCTAAAGGTGTCCTTGGCACCTGGGAAACTGCATCAGATGGATCTGATGCGGAAAGCTGGGCCGGTTTGGAGATGAGCTTAGAGCAGAGCTCGGTAGCCTTGCTTGTAAGCCAGAGACATTAAAGATTTAAAACACTGTATGATGAGAGACTTAGTTCCCTGAAACACCACTTCCTGCACAGAATCTCAGCATCTTCTACACATGCCCTGGGACTTTGTGGTGTTGGCCACAGAGCTGCCTTGCTCAGTGAGTTGCCAGTGCCTCAGAGCCGTTTGTGTTAACCCTTTGGGAGCCACACAACAATAAGCAAACAAGCCTGTGCTTTCTTGCTGGTACAGGCTTTGTGCAATGTTGTCCCCATTTTCAGAGATGCCTTTGGGTTTTGTTTTGTAGCATGCAGGAGTCTATTTTGGCCCAGGTGCAGAGAGTCATTAAAGGTGAAGTGAGCCTGGCTATGAAGGAGCAGCAAGCAGCTGTCACCTCAAGCATTGTCCAGGCAATGCGCTCGGCGGCCGGGACTCCAATCCCCTCTGCTCACTTGGATTTCCAGTCCCAGCAAACTCACATCCTTCAGCTGCTGCAGCAGGGACACCTCAACCAAGCTTTCCAGCAGGTACCTGGGTTTCCTGGCAGTGGGCATGGCTGCTTGTTGGGGGATGGAGTGGGACGAAAGGGCTTCTTGAGGTGGGGACATAATCCCACAACAACTTCTACAGGAGTTGACTGAAAAGACCTGAGGTAGCAAACTGCTTGAGGGCTGCAGTGACACTCTCGTGCAGATCAAACCAGAGCTGTGCAAATTCCATGATAAGATGGTAGTTAAGTTCCTTCTTCCCTGTCCATGCCCTGCCAGGACAGCATCAGCGCTCCCATAAACCAGAGTGTTTTGTCCTCGGTGGTGGCACATGGTGTACCCCCAAAGAGCAACAGCTTCATAAGCCTTTCCAGACAGATCTACCAGCTGGGGCCTGACCTTGCCTTTGCCTTTGGATATGTAGGCAGATCTGTTTGAGCCACTGTAGACAAACTCCTCTGAGAAAAATAGCAATGTCATGCCAGTGGGTTAGCAGGGGATGCAATTATGGCCCTGCTCCATGCTGCTGGCTCTAACCTGGTCCCCCCTCTGTCTGGTTGTGATCTGTTCTGCTTTGAACACGGAGGTGTCATCTGAGCATGTAGACTGAGAGCTTAAACATGGCCCTGTTTGTGTGTACAGCAGGGTTTGCAGAGAATTCTGCTCCCAGAGGAGGCTGTCGAACCATTGAGCTGCCCCAAGGAAGAGGGCTGTTGCCACTCTGTCCTGTCCCCCTCACCTGCCTGTCATTTCCTCTGCATTTCTAGCTCTATCTTTCTTTCAGGCTCTGACAGCAGCTGATCTCAACCTGGTTCTGTATGTCTGTGAGACTGTGGATACTCAGCAAGTATTTGGGCAGCATCCGTGCCCGCTGTCCCAGCCCGTGCTGCTCTCTCTCATTCAGCAGCTCTCCTCAGATTTGGGTACTCGTACAGAACTGAAGTTGAAGTGAGTATGATCAGAACACCGAGTCTGAACCTATGCAGGCCTCTTCCTGGCTCTGACTTTTAAATTCACTGCCTGGAAGTGGAAGGTGGTGCTTCGAGCAAGGTCAGAGCTTGTGTAGCCTGTTACTGGCATGTGAACAACCAGTAATGACTTGGAAAAAGCTGTAGGCATTGCTGTGGAAAGCTTTTCTGTCCAGAGGTAGTAGGAGAAGGGGCATCCATCTGTAGGTGCTGTTACCTCTTGGATTGTAGTCTGTAAACATTACACGTGGTCTGTACAGCCATCTCCTAGCCAAGGAACAACTCCTCTGTGGAGGTAAAAGGAGGGATAGTGCCATATTTCCTAAAGAGCTTAATGTCCTGAGAAACTTCGCTCTGTCCTCAGTTCTTAACCCATCGCTGGACTTTGTGTTGGCAGTTTCTTGTCGTGACTGCCAGACAGGTTCAGTGGGAGGTAGCAGCAGGAGCTACTGGAGTTAATGTCTGTTAGATGTTCTAAGCAAAGCTCGTGTGACAAGATAGTGACTATGCTGATACTTGCAATGAACATTTTTAGTGAGTGAGTCAAAACCCTGTTATCTGCTCTAAAAAATTAACTTAAGGTATCTGCAGGTTTTAACTGTGTCTTGTATGGAAAATGACTTAAATCAAGTTTTTAACTCAACAATAGAGGTAAAACAAGCTAGAAAAACTGAAGAGCTCTAAGTTACAGATGAGCTGGTAAAGTTAAAGTTGCTGCTAAAGTTAAGTTCAGGCTGGTCTGCTAGTGAAAACTGTTTGCAGGGACCATGTTGCCTTACTCTGAGGCTGTGGGTTGAACCTTTATGGTTTGTCTGAACTTCAGAAGGCATGTTGATAGAACTCTTGCTCTTCCCCGTTTCCTGGATGGACATATTGGAACACCTTAAATCTATCCCTCCACGAAATTAGCCTCACTGATGAGGATTTTTACTGTCTAAGTGACTAATTCTGCTTATGCTAAAAAAGCACCAAAGAAAGTATCTACAGAGCTGTGACCAGGCATGGCCTGTGGCCAAGTGCCACCTCCAGCTCTAGGGAGTTCTGGCTTGCTCTTGTGCCTGCTTGGTTCAGGCAGCCAGATTGTGTTGCACGAACTGCAGGCTGGAGGCTATAGGCTGCCCTTACATGTTGAAGAAGGGATAGGTGGCCTCTGCTGTGAGTCAGACATTTCTTTTCTGATGGTTGAACATCCTGCACTGGGTTTGGGTGGGTGGGTGAGCAGAATTGTGCATCTCTTCAGTGCTAAAATGAACTGATTCGAACTGGGATCACATACTGGGTTCAGTTCTAACCCTGGTGTCTCTCCTTCAGTTACCTGGAGGAAGCAGTGATGCACCTGGACCACAGTGACCCCATCACCCGCGACCACATGGGGTCAGTCATGAACCAGGTGCGGCAGAAGCTCTTCCAGTTCCTCCAGGTGGAACCCCACAACACACTGAGCAAGCCTGCCCGTCGCCTCATGATCATGCTCCAGGGCCTGGTCACCCCTGGCATGACCTAGGAGGACCTGGCTACCTTGTGGGCTGCTCTGTGGAAGCCCACCCAGAAGATCCAGTAGTAGGCTTGTGTTAAGAGCTCTTGCCAGGAAATCTATTGACATGTGTGTCTTGTCTCTAAGGCAAACGCCATCTGTGTATAGTTCCAAATAGTCACTGAACGCTCACTTGGCTTATTTTTCCTAAATAGCCTCTTTCTGAGAGTTAAGTCTCTTTTTCACCTGCCCATCCGTCCCTGAGGCCTGGCTGGCAGTCCAAGTCACATTCACCAGAAGCTGGTGGATTTCTTACCCTTTTAGTTTAGAGGCTGCTGCTGTGAGCAGAGAAGGGAGGTGCACGCTGAGCCCCGAATAAGGGGGCTGCCGGGGCCACCTGCTCCTCCTTGACCAGAAACTAGTACCCGTGTCTTAGTCGAGGACTCAAACTCCTCCTCCCTGGTGGGGTGTAGCAGGGAGGATGTCAGCCAAGCAGCAAGGGGGGTTCATTTATCTCCAGCTCTGCCCTGCCCCCACTGTGGGGTGCCCAGCCCCTCCCGGGCGGTGCTGGCAGGTTTGGGCGGGGGGGCTGTGCCTGCAGGCAGCTGGGGGACCCCAGGAGGAGCTCTGGGTCAGATGCTCAGGCAGCAGCGAGCTGCGCCAGCCCCTGGGGCCATTGGTTCTGTTGTGTGTTGGAGCATGTCCATGGTTCAGACGTTAGTTTCGATTTTACACCAGGGTTTTTCTTTTTATCTAAATTTTAAAGGGTTGGTTTGTTGGTTTTTTTTTTTGAAATAACATTAAGAACAATTCAATAAACAACTTTTTGAGAAAAACAAGTGGTGATCTGTGCCTGTGGTGCTGTGGGTGGAAGGTTGTGTGGCCTTTACACTCGTGGGGAATGTCTTGGAGTGGCGAGCTCCAGGCTGGAGCGCGGGAGCTTGGGACCGCTGCAGGGCGGAGACACTAATTCCCCTTTTCACATCAAAAACGCCGCCTACTCCTCTTCCGCCTCCTCCTCCTCCTCCCCCCTGGGCCTTGCGTGCTCGGGGGTCCACAAGACTTTTCT